ATCAACCAATCTAAGAAGAAACTGCTTTTGGTTTTCATCTTTCGTAACGCTTGAGTTAAAGGATGTTATAAGTGCTATGCCTCGTTTCGCGCAATCGTTGACGACTTTCATTTGACTAACCTTGTGCTTCATTTCAAGATATGTTGAATCCATTTCCCACTCTGAAGATTCTTTCATTAAAAATGATTCAGCTTTTTCTTTTCCATTTTTCAAAATTAGATCGAAAAGTTCTGCGGTGCGTTGTGTGACGAAGGAAGGCAATGGGCTGTGACAATTGAATGTGGCAGCATCAAGTCTTTTGAGAGATTTCTGCCTTGGCTGTTGTTTCAGGTTGTTTGCCATGTCTCTCTTGGTGTTGTTGTCGACACGGGAATCGAAGAAAGCCAATCCTATTAGATGTTCAGAAAAATACCAGAGGTGGCGATGAAAAGCTTTTGCTGCATTAATTGCAATTGTACGATTTGGATATTCTTGAATCCGTTGAAGAAGCTTGGCATCATTGAATGGTGCTCGTTCAGCTAACGGAGCTTCATTCCAAAACTGTCCGTATACAAATGCCACAAAAAGACTTATATCTGTAATTCCTTTCTTTTCCTTTGCAGTAATAACAAATTGATCCTGAAACAAATATATCTTTATACAATATATAGCTTTTGCCATCCAACGTGCATTGTGTGTTGCACCTGGAGCCCGAAACTTCACTTTGAACTCCGATGTTGTAGTTGATCCTCCAAGAAAAATAAGGCACAAAATCAAGAGTTCTAAGTAATCATCCCTGGGTTGTTGACCTTTAATTGCTTCACTATAATATACTACCATTTCTTCACGGAGTTTGAGAAAAAAATCGCAGTTGTAAAATTCTTTATTCCCTATAGTGAACACCTTCTTGTTGATTGCTGGCCATTGTTTCTGGAAACGGTTAAAAATTCCAACTTCAGGTCCTCCACTGGTTCCAAATGCAGTCGTGAAAATGGTGGAAAGCATGACTTCAAACATATGGTGCCTGCATGCTATCCATATAAGATTACGGTCAAGATTCTGCTCCATTATTGTGCAGGCACCAATGTTCAACCCAGTGTTAGATGAAGTAGTGTCAAAAACCAGTCCCCGAACAAGTTCTTTCAATTTCCAGTCTTTAAGAGCCTTCATGCAAGCATCAGCCTGTTGCTCACCTGTACCTCGATCAATCTTTGGAACGCCCAGCAATTTTTCCACCCTACCACCAGTCACAAGGATGGCAATTCTATCCACTTTTTTTTGACCACCAGTGATATCAGGTAAGAGCTTTCCATCCCAATGCAGAAGAAGTGGATCATCAGGAGAGAAATCAACCTTGTCAGCTGTAGTCACCGCTTCACGAACAGATCGCCTTTTTCTGCGGATTGTGCTGTACGACAATGATAAATCTTTTACCGAGTGACCAAGAGCCTGAGACACTGTTCCAACCACGAAGAGTGCACGGCGATCAGAAATATTAACACGATCAAGAGATGATACAACATTATTTGCTAGAACTTTCATCTTTTTTTTCGTTGAGTTACTTGTGCTCAGTGTGCTGGAAGCGGAAGGAGTCTGATATACATCATCATCCGAGGAACTAGAGCTACTTTCACTCACAACTGCTGATGAAGAAGAAATGAGTTCTGTTTTTTCCATCAGTTCCGCTTGACTTCTTTGATGCCTCAATTCCATTTTAGTTTCTCGGACTCGTTTCCGTGCCTCCCTAGCTGCTAAATTCCGATCAATTCCTGCCATACTACAACTTAATGGATCTTCTTGCTGCTGACGTAAAAATGCTTTATCTTCATCGTTTTTCATAACTTCTGATGCATTCTTGGTTGAAATATCAAAAAGTTCTTCAAGGTCAGCGTGGAAAATTCCTTCTTTCATTTGACAGCTGTCCAATTTTGATCCTCGGTGTTTTTTCAGCAGCAGATATTCGTCATAAAGTTTTTTAACTTTCTTTCCGCATTGTCAATTCTTTGAGTTGGAATTTTTCCTCTCTCCCATATAACAAGAACTGCTTCAATTGTTGCCCGAATACTTTTTTTCACTTCTTGTTTCTCTTCTATATGATGGAAGAGCAACCTCCGAAGAACATCCCCTCTTGAAGGAAGTCTGGCAGTCGACAGAGTTTGTGTAGGTTTACCAACAAGCCACACCTCAGCAGAAGATCTAGTGGTTGCCATATTATCAATTTCTAAATTATAAATAAATAAACAATGAAAAAACAAATTTGCGAAATTTGAGAAAATCACAAAATTTTACCAATGGTTAATTCATCTTATAAAACATGGCAACCCCTAAAATTGCTTCTTTTAGTCTAATTTTTGGTACACATGATCCTAGGTGATAAAGGAACACAGGCAACCTTGAGGAGAATGTTTTTTGTGACATTTTTTTTTTTCTATTACAATCTGAATCACCCAAATATATATATATATATATATATATATATATATATATATATATATATATATATATATATATATATATATATATATATATATATATATATATATATATATATATATATATATATATATATATATATTATACATATATATATATATATATATATATATATATATATATATATACATATATATATATATATATATATATATATATATATATATATATATATATATATATATATTATACATATATATATATATATATATATATATATATATATATATATACATATATATATATATATATATATATATATATATATATATATATATATATGCATACATATATATATATATATATATATATATATATATATATATATATATATATATATATATATATATATATATATATATATATATATATATATATATATATATATATATATTATTAATAGAATCAACACAGTTTGGTATTTGAAAAAGGTTATATTTGCTTATAATTTATTCCTTATGTTATGATCGCATGTCTTTATATGACTACGCATGTAACACTTTTGTTTTACTGACATGATCATGGCTTTTAAATAGTTTGATAATTTTTACGCATTTTTAAAATGGCACTTAAAAATGAAAGTAAGCTAAGTAAAATTGAAAAAAAAAACCCACAAACTAAAAAAAGAAAATAATTCTTAACCTAAGAGAAAATAAACGAAAGTAAAAATGTGAACTGTAAAAATGTATTTGGTCAAAAAGAACCTTATAGATATTGAAAAGAATCAAAAAATTTTAAATACATTTGTGAAAATAATTGTCTTATACAAAAACACTTCTCCCTTTTTATAAAAAAAAAAGTTTTTAATTTGCTTTCACATATTATGATTCTTGATAATATATGATGGTGTGAAGTTTATTGATAATCTATGATAATCTATGATAATCTATGATAATCTATGATAGAGCTTATTATACCTGTTATAGTTTTACTTAATAAATTTGCAGTTAAAAAGAAAAAAAAATTCTTTAATAAAAATTAAAATTTTTAATAAAAAGGAAAAAAATTTCTTTATTAAAAATTGCTAATCTTTTTTACATTCCTTTAAAACTAAATTTTACATTCAACGTTTTACTATTTTACATTCTATCAAAACTTAATTTAAATTTATAAAAATTATATTTAATATAAAGACTTTTACAGGGTTATTTACTTTTACTTGCGCGTCTATTCATTTTTATATGCGTGTTTATTCATTCTTATATGCATATTTATTCATTCTTATATGCGTATTTATTCATTCTTATATGCGTATTTATTCATTCTTATATGCGTATTTATTCATTCTTATATGCACAATTATATGCAAGTCAACTACCCATAAAAATCTCTAATATAATTTTTTATAAACAAGAAATAGGCTTTTATGTTTTTATATAGATGTATTCAAAATATAAATTAGGTTGTTGCCACTGCTATTTATTTAAAAAATGATTGCCGAGCCAGAACTGGATTTATGTAATTACGCATATGGTTGTAAATATCCATAATATTTTTAAGTTTCCTGATTACTTTATCCATCTTTCAAGGACTTTCTCCCTGTTTGTAAGTATGCTTTAAAGAAGATTAATTCTGGATTAAGCTGTGACCAGGGATTATCTTTTTCTGGATATTTCCGGAATTCTGGATATTTTTTTTAACTTTTAGTTTTTCTGGATATCCAAAACATTTTCCATACATACAAGTTTAAGTATATATCTTTTTCACTCATCATTTATAGAAAAGTTAAGATAAAAAATTTAAAACAACTCAGTTAAAAGCAAATTTAAGAGGAAAATATGTTCCGGATATTTTACCCAAACAATTTTCTGGATTTTAAAAATATGACCTGGATGATCTATGTGTGACATGTATGCTGGCAGATACTATATCACAGCTATGCCATGAGAGGCTAATGTTTACCTGACAGAAAGACTCCAGCAGTATTTACAATTATAACAAGCAGCGGCGCTTCTACATCTGCATTCCTAATTGTTGGTATCAACATTGTAGTAATGAAAGTTCAAAATAAATCTGCATTCCAGCCTCAAGTTTTTGTTTCATAAGTCAGCACTCCGATTGTTGAAACAGCACAAGTCAAACTAACACTCTTGTCATATATAAACAATCTTTGAATCACCATTCAATCTAATTTAAAAATTGTGCCTCGATGTTACATTAAATCTAAATAACAATACATTCCTACTGTATTTTAAACCTGATAATCAAATAAGGTACATCCATTCTAATTTTAACCACCCTTCAAGCATAATAAAAGCAATCCCTCACAATATTGAACGAAAATTATCTTCCATGTCAATTAACAAAATGTTCTTTAAAAAGACTATTCCACTGTATGAAGAAGCTTTAAAAAAGTTGGGATACAAGACAAAGCACACCTGCCAACCACAACTAATCTCAAATCAAAATCAACAAAAAAAGCATCATAAACGTAATATTGTTTGGTATAACCTTCTGTTCAGTTTAAACGTCAAAAAAAAATAGGAAACTGTTTTCTAGCCCTAATTGACTTACATTTTCCAGCCGGCCTCAAACTTCATAAAATATTCAACCGAAATTCTAAAAGATCAGCTACAGTCGGATGCCTAGCTTTAATTCTATCATAAATTTGCATAATTTCAGAATATTGCCCAACAAAAATCAATTAAAAACCAACCAATGAAACTGCATAGAAAAAGCAATTTGCGCTTTGAACAACCAGTGTTTGTCTAATAATATTGTTTACCAAGCAACTGTAAGTTCTAGTCATGATCATAACAAAAAAGTATTTTTAGTAATACTCTATTTAAATTAAAATATGCAAACCATCTCAATTATTTGCATTAGTTAAGTATAAAAATGACACAGGACTCTCTAAGGAAATATGGAGCTTAAAAGACCCAAACATAAAGCCTATTATAGAATGTAAAATTGTCAATCTAGCAACAAAAATATGCCACCTTTGCCTCTACAAATAATGTTATTTTATCACATAATGGGAAAAACCTAAAATAATAAAAAAAGAAGTTGTATCTCCTTGTCGACATTCAAAAAAGTTCTTATTATCTTTATTTTACACAGGGTATTTAATGTAAACTATAATGGCTTTTTGTTTTTTGTTTTGTTTTTTACTAAGAATTGTTTATAACATCAGAAGTCATTCTACAGTAATTTTTACGTTTTTTTAATGGTTTGTTTACGATTTTTTGTTTGTATTAACGGCTGATGATTGTTTTCCGGCATGAAACTAATCAGTTGTTTTTATTCATCTGAATAATATATATATATATATATATATATATATATATATATATATATATATATATATATATATATATATATATATATATATATATATATATATATATATATATATATATATATATATATATATATATATATATATATATATATATATATATATATATATATATACACACATATACATATATACATATATATAAGTATATACCAACTGGTTTATATCAACTTTTTCTCTGCGCATTAGCTTTGTTTGTCAAGGTTCGAGTTATAGAGTTGAGAGAGGGATATAACCGCAATTAAGTAGCCTCCTCCTATGAATTGGCCTTCTTGACTTTGGGGAGGTGAATTAACATAAAAGTATATATATATATATATATATATATATATATATATATATATATATATATATATATATATATATATATATATATATATATATAATATATATATATGTATAACTTAAGAAGCATTAAAAAAAAAACATTTATAACATAAATGCATATATATATATTTGGAAATTTTTTTTTTTTAGGTGTAAGAACTGGTAGATGTGTTCAATCAGATCGACCTAATATATCTTACCGTGTATGTGAAATATATGGATGGTGTCCTACTGAAACAGATATTTTACCAATGCCAGGTTATAATTTCAGGTTAGTTTTTCTTTTTCTTTTTTTTTTTCACTTTAATTGTTAAATATTCTTTCAAGCAATCTTGTTAAATATTCTTTCAAGCGATCTTGTGTTGTTTTTCTTTAATAAATTTCTTCTCATAATGCATAATCATAGAAAAACTAAAACCTGTGTGTAACATACCTGTGTATTTTTAATAGTTATTCTATGTAGAGTAAAATAATGTTAGATAAAATTAAACATTTAATTATTTTTTTAAGCTGTATTTAAGTTTTTCACACTGAAATGGGTTGTTAACATGACCATCTATACTAACCATAAACGCATGAATTGGAGACTGGGGGCAACAACAACAAATAAGAAAAAGTTAAGTATAGCATAAACATTTGCTCATAAAAAAGCGTTTCACAAATATTCGTGGCCTGCAAAACAACCTTTCATCAGTTGAATCTTACCTCTTGCAAAATTTACCAGACTTGCTTGCTCTAAGTGAGACTAATTTAAATTTGCTATTCCTTTTTCAGATCGCAGTGTTGATATGTACTATGCTTTGATTCGCAAAGACTACAATAGTCACGTGTTCTATTTGGGGGTATACATACACATCAATTCACCTATTTATCATGAAATCAGTTTCAAATCTTTTGACCATTTTTTTAATGTATTTTTGCCTAGCACCACTTCGCTTTATCTCCTTTTTCTTTATTCTTTATTTTTCTCCTGGGTCATTCCGTGCCAAGTGGTGCAAATTTTAATGAGGTCCCTCATGGACCATCTCAAATTTTATTGAAATTTTTTGATTTTGTATATATATATGTGAAAAGCATGTTTTGAAAATTTTAGATCAATATCTAATATGGTTCTTGAGAAAACGCTATTTAAGTAGTGGGCTATTTTGCATAAAATTTCACTCTACAAGAAAAAAGATTTTTTTCATTATTTTTAACAGCCAATAACTTTTGAACAATTTAGTTTTATACTTCAGTTATTATAAGATAGCAAGTGTGCTGTAAATACTTTGGAAAAAGAAAAAAATTTTAATTCTGGCATCTTAACTTTTTCCATAATGGCGGGCTAAAGTTGAGATTTTTGTTTTTAAAATAATTTTTTTTGTGATTTTAATGATCTTTATCTTGAAAACTAGTTAAAAGATTAATAAAAATCAAGTTGCCTGCTGATCTATATGTGGTGGATAAACATTTTTAAAAAAATCAGTTGATTAAAGAGCTGCATTTAAAAGTTATAGGTCTCCAAAATGAGTCAGATCGAGATTTTCGTAAAATTGATCTGTGATGCAAAGCATCTGTTACCTAAGATGGCACTTTTTTTTTTTCATAAAATTTTTTATACGCATCAATTAAAAAGTGTTAATTTATAAAAACCAAAAAATTTAATGGGCGCTTATTTATAACTCCCAAAAGGTAGTCTCTAAAAGTCAGGTAAATTTTCCATAAAATTGTTACTTTTTAAAAGTTATTGTTTCATTTAATTATATATTACTAATATGTCTATCTAAAAAGTACTAATAAAACCAAATAAATTGTTGTATTTTAGAACTAATTAATAATGAGTAATATGCCTGAGCTTTTACTGTATTGGTAAAGCATTAAATGAACAGTGCTATCTTATCAAGTTTAACAAGTCTAAAAAAGTAAATGCTACCAAAAACTGTCTACACTAAACCAAGAGCTTATTTCTTTGAGAAGCAAAATAAATCCCATAGATTTTATTTGTAGCTATCACGAGAAAGTTTACTTGTGAAGGTATGAGAATGAACATCGCAGGTATTGTTGTAATCCGTTGAACAAGCACGCAAAAAAAGTGAAAAGTAAGTTTCATTATTTAATATCTTAATTTAATAAAAATACCTTAATAACACTAAATAAATAAAAAAAAACAATATTTAATAATTATTTTTGTTATTTTTTAGATTCTCTTAGAGTTATCAGTCTTTCATAGGCCAAAGATTTTGGTTTAATACCTGGTCAAAAAACTTGCACTAGTTGCAGAAAAGTTCTGAATTGCAAACATAATACAAAAGAAAATGAAGTCCAAGAAAAAGAAATTTATGTTGACAACCATACATTAAAAGAAGATCTTAATTCAAGTATTGCAAGTTTTGGATGCTCACCTCTAAAACTTGTTTCAAAAAAAGATAGAGTTGCATATGGAAAGCGTAAAATTGATAGAGTAAGAGCTCATACACAAAAGGCTGTTGCCAATGTGCTAGGTTTAGAAATAGCTGCACTTGGTGGAATTGAATCACCCTCAAAAAAATGTTTGAAAAAAACAAACACAGATTTATACAATATTATGACTCAAATTAAGTTAAAATTTGAAAAAACATTGTCAAATTCTGAAAAAATCACACTTCTTACACTCACTCCAGACAGTTGGTCAATAGAGAAAACTCAGAAGTTTTTTTTGACTTCAAAAAGATCTGTAGTACAAGCCAGAAAATTAAGGAAAAAAAGTGGAATACTATCAAAACCTTCTCCAAAATTGGGTAGAAAACTAAGCGAAGATGTTTTACAGAGGTTGTTCATTTCTATGAATGCGATGAATATTCAAGGGTTTGTCCAGGAAAAAAAGAGTTTGTTTCAGTTAAAGTAGATAGTATAAAGCAACATATCCAAAAGCGACTTCTACTAGTCAATATGAAAGAGCTACATATTGAGTTTAAAAAGAAATATAATTATCTTAAAGTTGGATTTTCAAAATTTTGTGAGCTAAGGCCCAAGTGGTGCATTCCTGTGGGTGGTGCTTCTGGTCTCCATGCAGTTTGTGTTTGCCAGTACCATCAAAATGTAAAGCTCCTTGTACAGAAAATTCCTGGAATTACTGATTACAAAATCTTATTGAAATTAATGGTTTGTAGCATTGAATATAGAGATTGTATGCTGTATAGCTGTGATAAATGTCCTGCTAAAAAGGTTTTGTTAGACTACATTGACACTTTGTTTACAGAAAATGAAATTAGTGAAGTTAACTTTTATCAATGGCAAAAATCAAATTACCAATGTACTTTAGTACCAGCAACTCTACCTTTAGATGAATTTATTGAAATAGTTTATGAACAGTTAGATAGTTTACGAGAGCATCATTTTACATCCAAAAGTCAAGTCACCTACTACCAACATTTGAAAACTAATTTAAAAGAAAATCAAGCTTTGGTTCTTCTTGACTTTGCAGAAAACTATAGTTTTCTAATACAGGATGCAGTGCAAGGTTTTCACTGGAATAACAGCCAAGCAACTGTGCACCCCTTTGTTGCGTATTTTAAAAAAGATGGAAAACTTGATAGTCAAAGTTATTGTGTTATATCAGATCATCTGAAACATGGAACAGATGCTGTTCATTGCTTTATCGGTAATGTTATTGATAAACTTAAACAATTACAAACATTTGAACACATTATCTATTTTAGTAATGGAGCTGCATCACAATATAAAAATTACAAAAATCTTATCAACTTATGCTACCATAAACACGATTTTGACATAACTGCAGAGTGGCACTTTTTTGCAACATCGCATGGTAAAAGCCCTTGTGATGGTGTTGGTGGAACAGTGAAACGTCTTGTTGCATGAGCCAGTCTACAATCACTAAACGATCCTATTGACACACCAAGCAAAATGTACAGCTGGTGTGTTCAACACGTCAAAGGAATATCTTTTTTTTTTGTTGACAAAGTTTCAATAGAAACACATACTACAAACTTCAATTTGGAAGAGAGATATTGTTCTTGTTCTACAATACCTGGGACACGAAACCACCACAGTTTTATGCCAATGTCACTTACCTCAATAAAAATAAGAAGAGTCTCATTTGATATTATTTGCACTAATGTGGATTTTTCTACTTGCAGAATTTTTATTAATAAAATTTCAAGTTACTCAACAGGAGAATATGTGGCCTGCGTTTACGATGCTCAATGGTATTTAGGAAATATTCTTAGTATTTCAGAAGAGCATCAAGATCTTAATATGAAATTCATGAAAAAGTCTTTATGTAACAAGTTCACGTGGTTATGCAGAGATGATCTTTGTTGGGTACCTCTAATGCATATTTTATACAAAGTGCAATCTCTTAAAGTCCAGTCAAACAGTGGAAGATTTTATAGTATCGACTTCAAAGAAATCAATGAGATTATTTTATTATTTGAGAAATTTAACTTTTTGTAAATTTTATTAATTTTGTTTATTTTCTTAAAAACATTTTGTTTGTTTTTCATTAAAAAAAAATATTGTATTATAAAGAGGGGAGGGGACAGAGGGGAGGGGACTTTATCTATTGGGATATAAAAGTTCTTTATCTAAAGGGATTATAAGGCTATAAACATTGATATTTTTTAATTGATATTTCATAATAAATAACATTATATAATTCAATGCATTTATTTATTATGTCAATTTCAGAATTTTATGGAAAATTTACCTGACTTTTAGAGACTACCTTTTGGGAGTTATAAATAAGCTCCCATTAATTTTTTTGGTTTTTATTAATTAACAGTCTTTAATTGATGCGTATAAAAATTTTTATGAAAAAAAAAAAGTGCCATCTTAGGTAACAGATGCTTTGCATCACAGATCAATTTTACGAAAATCTCGAGCTGACTCATTTTGGAGACCTATAACTTTTAAATGCAGCTCTTTAATCAACTGATTTTTTTAAAAATGTTTATCCACCACATGTAGATCAGCAGGCAATTTGATTTTTATTAATCTTTTAACTAGTTTTCAAGATAAAGATCATTAAAATCACAAAAAAAATTATTTTAAAAACAAAAATCTCAACTTTAGCCCGCCATTATGGAAAAAGTTAAGATGCCAGAATTAAAATTTTTTTCTTTTTCCAAAGTATTTACAGCACACTTGCTATCTTATAATAACTGAAGTATAAAACTAAATTGTTCAAAAGTTATTGGCTGTTAAAAATAATGAAAAAAATCTTTTTTCTTGTAGAGTGAAATTTTATGCAAAATAGCCCACTACTTAAATAGCGTTTTCTCAAGAACCATATTAGATATTGATCTAAAATTTTCAAAACATGCTTTTCACATATATATGTGCAAAATCAAAAAATTTCAATAAAATCTGAGATGGTCCATAAGGGACCTTTGCACCACTTGGCATGGAATGACCCTCCTTCTTCCTAAGACTGCATTTTTTTAGATGTAATTTCTGGATTAATTAACCATGCCCTCCCTTTATCTTCACACTTAATGACTTAGCTCTAAGTCCATAACTTCTGCATTTCTCAATCTCTTACTCAGATAGTTAAATTTGTGACTCATTTTCCTGAAAACCAAAGTAATTTACCTTCACTTCTTGATTTATGTGTTGTCTCTGACCCAAGCTTGTGTTCTGTTTCTTCCTTTTCTCTCTTAGGTGGTTCTGACCGTGCAAAGATCTCTATAAATCTTTTATCTCATCCTTCTTTTTTCGACTTACCCTTATCGCACTACGTACTACTACCTCAAAAGCTTACTGGGTTTCTTTTCGTGGTTTACTTTGTGATGGTCCTTGGGCTTATGTCTTTTATCTTCCAGCTAATAAATGCACCTCCTACATAACTTCCTGGATTCTGGCAATAATGAAAGCTTTTATTCCTTCAGTTTTAAGTTAAGCCTCATTCTACTCCATGGTTTTCAACCTTTTGTTCATCTGTTATATCTAATTGCAATAATTTTTTTCCTATTATTTAAAAAAACAACTTTCTTGCTAATAACTAGCTATTTATTATTGCAACAAATCACTGTAAAATGGTCTTACGCTAAGCTCCATTATTCTGGGTTTACTAAATCCTGCATTTTATCTTATAAGATAGGCTCTATAGACTATTAAAAAATTTTCAACATCATCATTAACTAAGGTAGGTCTAACATTCCATCTCTTATTCATGGGACTGATCTTATTACCTCTCCCATGGATAAGGCAGAACTATTTGCAAAGAACTTGTCTTTTAATATGACTCTTTAATATTATGGCCATTCTCTTCCTTTCATTCCAATTAAATAAATTAAACTTCTGTTGATAAAGTCATATCTCAATTAAACTCATCTACAGCTAGTGGTCTTGTCACAGTTTTACAAAATTGTAAACTCCAGAATTCTCTTCAAAACACTTTAAACAAATTTATTTTATTTTAAATTTAATATATTTATATATGTGTTTTCTATATTTTTTATAGTATATTGATACAAATAATAATGTATTTAATGTATTTAATTAAAAAATCATATGTATTTAATTTATATTGGTATTTTATTTTTGATTTGTTTTAAAAGGTTTTTAAAGCAAAGCTTGTAAATTTTAGTGCAAGTGTCCCACTTCTAGATGATGCTAAAGAGTTTACAGTTCTTCTTAAGAATGAAGTAATATTTCCAAAGTTCAAAGTTCAGAGGTTCGAATTATTTTTAATTTTAAAAGGTAGTTGTATTAATATTTGTAACACATTTTAACTTATTGTTTTATTTTTCATATTGTTTATTTGTTTATTTTTTGCATATTTTTGTCATAGGCGTAACATAGTTAAAAATAACAATTCAAACTATCTGAAAACTTGTTTTCATAATCATGATACTGATCCACTGTGTCCTATATTTAAAATTAAAGATGTGATTCAAGAGTGTAATGATGATTTTGAACAAGTTGCTTATTTGGTAAGTATTTACATATTAGCAAAAAATATTTTTCTATGAAAATAGCAATATATATATATATATATATATATATATATATATATATATATATATATATATATATATATATATATATATATATATACATACATATATTTGTAAATATAAATATATTTATATATGCACATTCATATATATGTATCTGTATAATTGAGAGATATGAAAAAACGAGATGTTTTACACTTTATTAAAAAGTGGTTGGATGGCATTCTGCTTCATCCTACCTTACATCAAGCATGATATATATATATATATATATATATATATATATATATATATATATATATATATATATACATATATATATATATATATATATATATATATATATATATAGGTTTCAGTAGGAGCTAAAAATGAACATGGTGATCCATGCAGGCTGCTTCTCTAAACAGCTTTTTACAAGAGGTTTAGGTTTTTGCATGAGCTATCTGTTTATTCGTTTAATTGCTTATTAAATACAAAATTGCTTATTAAATACAAAATTGCTTATTAAATACAAAATATTGTTTTATACTTGTTACAAATGTAATATATAAAACAAAATTTTAAATGTAATTATAAAACAAAATTTTAAATGTTACAAGAGTATATATGTAATAAGCGTCATTTATCATACCATGAAAAAAATCTTTAAATGAGCATTTACTTGGGTTTTTGTACTAGCTTTTCATTTATTGAATAACAAAATTACTTATTTGATAAAAAATTTGAATCCCACCACTACCCAATTTTTTTCTTTGGTATTATTTTTAATAATTTATTAATGTTTTTTATGTATATTTCATCAATAACATAGTAGACCAAAAGGGAGGGGGAGGGTTGAAATAAGCGCACAGAGCCAAATGTTAAAAAGCAACATGTATCCATAATTACAAAGCGCTAAAAGATTGGAGATTAAAAGTGTATAGTAATAAAAAAGTAATAAGAAACGATTAAGGCTATGTGAAAAATGTGAAGACAGCATGGCCTAATTGAAGCTTAAAAAGTATGTATATATATGTGTGCGCCTTATTTAGAAAATACACTAAGAAGCCTAAATGGTATAAGAAATATGAATTTGAAAAGATGTGTATCATTCAAAAAGATACAACAGAAAGATTTTTTATTTACAAAAAAGATAAATGGTTACAAAGCAAATAAATGAACAATATTTTTAAATACCGTATTTAAAAAATAAAAAATAAAAAATGGATGGTCGTGGGATTTCATAAAAACAGTACACAAGTTATTAAAATTATTAACTTTTTTTTTTCTTTTTTTCTATTTAAATTTATTTTAATTTCTTATTTAATTAGTTTTGCTTTCTTTGTTTTTGAAACTTAATTTTTCCTGCAATGCTTAATAAAATAAAACGTGCAAATGGCCATGAACAAGTTATCTTAAATAAACTACTCATGCATGGGCATACAAAGTGAAAACTGCATGTATCTTCTGGGAAGGCTTGTAGAGTGTATTCACTTTATATTTTATCAGTTATATAATTTTATATTTTAATTATAGTTTAGATTATAAAAAAGTATCCATTTAAGTTGTCGCTTTTTTTTTGTTTTTTATTTTTTCAACAACCGTGTTTTTTATAAAACATTGCAGTTTATTACGCAATTATTTTATTTTTATTTTTAGAAATGACTTGGTGTTTTTCATTTCATTTACAACAGTTCTTTTTTTTTATAAACAACTTTGCTTGACCTAATCAGCCCCCGCCCCCCCCCCCCTTCAGGTTGATCCTGGAAATACTGTGTAATATAAATTGTAACATTATTGACAATATCAATGTTATAGTTATATTACACAGTATTTCCAGGGTCATCCTAAGAGAGGGGGGCATAAGGGGGTGTCTAACCCCTCTAGGAAATTAATTAGTTGGCAAATTTGGACACTTAAGTCAGCAAAATTAGATCTGCAGTTGGCAGTCAGCGAATGTTAGCCAACAAGAACTTTTCTTTTTTAAAGATCTTAGTCAGCAAAAAAAAATTTCTAGGCCTTACTCTGCAAAAAATAGATACATCACCCCCATTAAATCTCTTCAGAACGATTCTGGGTATTTCAGATTATAGGAAAAGAAATCACTCTGCACTGCATATTTGTGTTTAAAAAGAAAAAAAAAAGTTTTTTTACTAATTTTATCATAGTTTTGTATTATATATAATTTTTACAATCTAATAATATAATAATAAGAATTTATAGAGTAGAATTTATTTCATAATATTTCTTAATTCATAGAGTAGAATTTATAATAATAAATTCTATTCTACTATAAACAAAACAATTGTAGCTTTATAATTGTAACAATTGTAGCTATTGTAATTGTAAAAATAACTTATATTATAAAGTTGTTAGCAAGTAGTTAAGCAAGTAGTTAACATACAATTTCAAGCACTACAAAAAAATCAGTTACGCAAAAAAAAAAAAATTACATTTTGTAAGCAAAAATTAAAATTATTTTTTTATATATTTTTATAATTTTTGGATCTCACCAAGACCTATACATATATATATATATATATATTTATATATATATATATATATATATATATATATATATATATATATATATATATATATATATATATATATATATAATTATATATTTATAAAAAATGATATTTAATAGGGTGCAGTATATGGCATTTTGGTTAACTGGGATTGTAATTTAGACCTTTCTCTTGATAAATGTACACCTACTTATAGCACAAGAAGGTAAACTATGCTATTGTAAGGTAATTTATGTTCATTTTTTTGTTGTTTGTGGTTTTTCGCTCAGTCTAGCAAATCTGTGGCGCTGGAAAAATGCTTCACGTGAGCTAGACTGAACAAAAAAGGTTAACACTAGTCTCTTTTCTTGAGTGGGCTTAATTAGGCACTATTTTCTGCTGTGGCTGCAGTACCAGGACATAGTGAGGATTTAACTGAAAGTTAAATCCTCACCATGTGCGTATATATAGTGATTTATATATAGTGAAGATAGAGTTATTCATAAAGCCTCACCACTAACTTTTTTCAAATTATATTAAAAAGAACATTTTGTGTTAAAAACTTTAGTTCTATAATATAGTAATAGTTTCATAGACAATATTTATTTTTTAGACTTGATGATCCAGATGCTCCAATATCTCCTGGGTTTAACTTCAGGTACACATTGATACTGATTTAAGTATTCATGTTTTCTCATATTTGACTGTGTGACTTTGTTGTCCGACTATGTGTGACTTTGTTGTCCGACTATGTGGCTTAATTGTGTATATATATAAGTATTTAGAATTTCTTGTACTTAGTGTGATTTTCATATACTTTCATATACTTTGTAAAAGTGTTCAAAGAATCCTATATTGGCTAGTCTTTAAGGTATTCTTTTCTCTATTGTTAGATTTCATAAAGTTTATATTTCGTAGTTTCAGTAACTTACATGATTTTATTTTACGAAAATATTTTTTAAGATGCGTACAAAAAAAAACTTTTTTTTTATGGTTTTTATTATAATTTTTGATAATACCAGAAAATTTTCACATCTTATTTTTGCCACATATTCTTTTACTAAATTCTTTTACTAAATAAAAAACTAAATAAATATACTTTTGTAGTTATTTAAATAATTTTTTTAAGGGTAAAAAATTATAAAAAAATTTATTTAAAAAAAAAATTAGGATTACAATATTAAACTCTTGATATCAAAATTCTTAAATATTATTCAATTATTATTGTAAGTTTTATTGCTTTTAGGTATTTTTATTTTTCTAAGGTTTTTTACAAAAAATCATTCTTTTAAAACATAGAGCATAAATTACATAAATTAATTTTTATGTAATAGTATTTTATATAATTTTTATATAATAAAATTTAATAATAGATACATAAATTAATTTTTATTTTATCATTAACTTATTTCACAGTGCAGTGAGGTACTGAGGGTCATCACAGTAAAAATTTTATTATTTAGTTAAGCGTAGCACACTTTACTTTTTTTGGTATTTCTTATTTTCTCTTTTTTTTAGTGTCATTTTCTCAAGCACACTTTACAGGGTTCTTTTTTTTTTTAATATTTTTCATAGGTTAAATTTAGTTTTTGCTCTCAAGTGTTGACAAATATTTCAAGGCCATTTTAAGTCTACAAAGTTTATGAGATGATGAAAGAGATTGAGGAAATAATCAATAGTGAAAAGACTTGCTGTCTACCTATTGCACTTTTGAAATTTCATCATGATGCGTTCAATGTATCTTTTTGAAATTTCATCATGATGCATCTATTGCACTTGAAATTTCATCATGATGCATCTATTGCACTTGAAATTTCATTATGATTATTGTGATGCATCTTGTTGATATTTTTTAATTCACATTTTACCTTTCATACACCTAAGAAATTTTTTAAGATTTTCTATTATTTAGACTGTGTTTTTTGTAAAATTGGTGTATTTAATTAATAAAGTATACATGATATCCTTTAGTTTGATTAAATCCATAAAGCATATATTAGTATATAAAACAGACATTATTCAGACATTACTAATCCTGATATTCATGAGACATAAATATCAGGGTTTAATAATGTGATTTCTTTGGAAACCTTTAGTTTGTTTTCTGCATTATTATTGGTATTTGGTTTTGTTTTTTGCATTTTCTAAACTAGGGTTGTTGATACTTGCTTTATTTATGCTTGCTTCAGAATTTTGATTTTTACTGTTTGTCAAATGGAAGTTGAGGTCTTTCTCAACAGTATTGGTTATTGTAATGACATTTTATTAGATTTCTTTAACAGAAAAATTAAGACAAAATTTTATTATCAGTTTGATTTTTAAAATAAAATTTGCTATTGCTTTTGAAGCTTTTTGAAGCTAAGGCATCTGGGTTAATTTCATGACAATTTTTAGTAGATAATTCAAAAAACAAACAAGGTATTGTCTCAAACATGACTACACTATCAGAATCTGAGGTTGAACATTATCATGCATTTTGGATTCTCATGATAAACAATACATTATATCGAAACCAAATGAGTTGATAAATTATAACTTCTACTTTAAAGTTCATTCAACTCCTCCACTCTTTGTAGATAAGTCTCTACCAACAGATCAGTCTAAATCACTATCATTATCTGCACTATTCTAAACATCTCACTTCAATTTAAAATTTTGAATTGAGGTGCATAATTAAAAAAAAGATGAACAACTGTTTGATTGTGATTGACCAATTAATGTAAGAATTAGCAAAAAAGTTACCCAAAAAACACTTTTATTTAGGGAAATATTGACCATTAGTTATTTGAATCGTCAGCCACCATATGAACAGATTTATGAACAAAACTGTTTAATTTTCGAATATTTAGTTATGTTGATTTGATTAAAATCAGTTCAAGTTATTTTTAAAATTTCAAGTGCGTTTAAAAAAAGTTATGCTGCATGTTGATCTTCAATTTTTTTATTAGATATGCCAAAAAGCATTTTATAAATGAAAAAATACTAATTTTAATAAACTTGGTAATGTTAAAAAAAAATGTTAAAATTAAAAAAAAAAAAGACTTTTACTGATTTTAGGGAAATCAAAACTATTAAAAAATTAAATTATTTGATTTTTCATTATTTGATTGCTTTAAGTTTCATTAAAAACTTTATTAGAAAAAAAAATTGGGTTAGTTAAAAATATGAAAAAAGAAAACTGTTTATTTCACATATTTTTAAAATTTTTGAATTTCTACAAAAATCAGCTATAAATGCTATGTCTATAAATGCTGGTTAAGATATAATATATAATAAATAATAATATAATAAATATAAATGTCTATAAATGCTGGTTGGAATAAATTTTCTTAAATAACTAAGTAATAATTGTTCTGGAAAAGTCTAATGTTATATATATATATATATATATATATATATATATATATATATATATATATATATATATATATACACATATACATATATATATATATATATACACATATATATATATATGTATATGTGTATATATATATATATACACATATATATATACATATTTATATGTATATATATGTATATGTGTGTGTGCATGTGTGTGTGTATTTTTTTTTGGGATATGCCACATTTTGTTGTTAAGTGTTACATATAATACAACTTTTCAAGTTCTTCTCTCAGTTTAAAGTGTCGCTTTAGAAAATTTTTATATTCTCTATTTTTTTTATATTCTATGTGTTATTTTTATAGATGATCGTGTGAATTTTATATTTTCTTTTAATAATTTCATATAGTCTTTGATTAATTTTTCCGTTTACATAGATTTGCAAATTACTATGTCGTAGACAATAAACAATATCGCACTCTTTTTAAAGCATATGGATTAAAGTTTGAAATAATAGTTACTGGAAAGGTGAAAATATTTTCAACTTTTTTACTTATTTTTTAAATGCAATTAAGTCAGTGCTCATTGAGTCAAGTTCATTATCATGAAAGAAATGACAAAAGGATGCAAGTTCATTACCATGATAGTAATGACAAAATGATGATAATGCAAAGTAAGCAGTGATATCTTTGATTAAATATCTTGATTTGTTATTTTTAGGGTTTAATAAATTTTTGTTTTTTTTTTATTTTTTTTAGGCTGGAAAATTTAGTGTCATTCCTTTATTTACTAATTTAGGTGCTGGTCTTGCTTTACTTGGCATAGTAAGTTGAAATAGTTTATCAAATTTTTTATTGTGTTTTATCTTTTATTGTCATCATCATTCTTTGATTGTGTCTTTCTTTTGTATCAATCTTGTTAGGCTGTTGTTTGGTGTGATTTTATTGTCATGTACTTGTTGAAGAAGCGTTTTATTTACAAAGAGTATAAATATCAAAAAATTGATGATGATGAAGAAACAAATAAAAATGAAGCAGTATACTATTTACTATATATTTATTTCAAATAATATAATTATAATAATCTTTTTATATTTATTCATATATACAACCCTCGGAATTAGGAAAAATGACGTCGGCAATAATTTGAGCTCGGCATCAGTTCGGCAAAAATTATTTGATGCAAAGCTCTGACCATAAAATATAGAAACGAGTTTGGCAATTTTCCAATCTCAAATACTTTCAGGTCAGCAGTTAGGTCGTCATTACCGGATGCCGATCCTAATTCCTAATTTACATATATATGTATATGTATATATATGTAGCTTATGTTAGTGTATTCTACAAATAGAGTCTTCAATGTTCTTAAATAAAAGAGCAATGGTAAATTAGTAAAATACTTACTATTAACAATTTTCTTCAACTGTCGGTTTCTTTCAACAGTCTGTTCCTTTCAACAGTTTGTTTCTCTTTCTGTTCATCAGGAAGAATGTCTAAATATAAAAAAATTTAAATTATAGAAAGAAAAAAATTCACAGAAAGTTTGGAATTGTTATTAATAATTTTAAAACAAATTTAGTTATGGTAACCAGGAAGTTACATTAATACACTCATTTTTCGCAATTTAAAATTACCCTAATTCTAAAAAATTCTTTTCATAAATAATTTTTTAAATTAATTGTGAAAAGAATTTTTTAGAATTAGGATAATTTTAGTTTGGTCATTTGTTTTATAATTTTTTTAAAAGATAATTTCATGCATTTAGAAAAAATCTGAATTAATTTCTAATTTGATTTACAGAACCCATGAAAAGATAAAGTTCTGGTAAAGGCGTTCATTCACTTCTTAGCAATCTTTTCAATTATAAGACAAAACTTCATAACGTTTTGAACATCCACAACATTCTTTTAATGGAATGCAAAAATCTTTAACGAAGTTCTTCTTTAGAGTTCTTCTTCAGATTACAACCATATAAAAAAATTTATGTTTCTCAGCCTCCGATATATGTTTCTCAGCCTCCAATATATGTTTCTCAGCCTCCATCAAATTAAAGAAAATAGTTATAGGTCTCTCAATCTTCTGACGTTACCAGATTTTAAAATAATTTGTTTGCATACCAGCTGAATTTTTGAAAATTTGAGTCTATACGTGGTTTTTGAGGTTTTTAATCCTTTTAAAGGGTATTTTAATACTGTTGCGAAATGATTGAATTCTTTTAAATAATTTTAATCCTTAAATTAGGTTGATTATCTTAAAATACAATCACATAAAATGTTTAGTTTTTATGTCAGTATGGTGGAGTATAAAACGTTTAGTTTTTATGTCAATATGGTGGAGTATAAATTAATCGATTTCGCTTGTTTCAATTATATTTCTTATTTGTTCTCCATTATGAATTGAACAATAATGCACCCAAGCTTATTAAGACCCTTCCATGTTTAATAATTTTGGTTATCAAAAAAAAATTGTGTAAACTTGAAAGTTTGATAAAAATAAAAACTTTTGCGAGCTACAATAGAAAAAAATTATTTTAGACATAATAATTTTATAAGTAAAAATATTAATTCGGATTATGAGGTTTTGATTATAGGTCGACAATAAACTGAAATTATCTATTAAAAATAAATATATTGTAACATGGTGTCAGATTAGAAAGAACCCTCTGTCTGTTGAATTTGGAGTATCCTTTCCGATATTTTATATCAAAAATCCTTTCCCATTTTATTATTACAACATCCCGTTTTGTTTAAGAAAAAATTCCCACCCACCCATTCATCAATGCCCTTTTCCCCCTGCTTATAAGATCTGGACTAAAACTTCCCCCGCCCCCTCTTTTTTTGTTTTTACCGTCTCCCGATCCCACCCCCACCCACCCTCAAGTATTAAGCATGCAAGTCTATATGATTCTCAATTATATTTACAGTTCTTTGTATGGTAAGTTAAAATTTTTATCTTTAGCAGCTTAAACAGAAAAAATGTTTGATCTTATTGTTTGAACTACTTTATGTATTCGCTACACTTCATATTTTTTCTTGTTGTGATACTTATGCAAAACTCATTAAGGAAAACTTTTAATCATTTAGCGTTAAATATTGGCAACAATATTTTCTCGAAGCTTCGTGTAAAAGAGTAGCCAAATTGGGAAATTGCCTTATCAATGGAAGACACAATTAATGTTCTTATCAACGAACTGGCCATCTTTTATCGACTTTAATGTTACTTAACAATCTTTGTTTATTTTTTCCTTTACATAGTCAATGTTTTCATTATTTAGGAGGTTTGCTAGATGTTTTTTAGCCGTTCAACTCTTCCAGGTCTTTTGAAAACATTTATTATTGAAGTTAAAGTTTTGTAATTTATTTCCAGTTCTTCACCAATTTTTTTTTAATAATCATCTTTTATAATGGGTTGTTTTATTTTACCGATTATATTTTCGATGTAATCGTTCGTGTTTCGATGTAATCGTTTGTGTTTAGATTATTAGCATTATTTAGATAAACCATATTTTGGTTACAATTAAACAAATGTTTAAAATCGATATATGGGTAAAAAAAATAATTTGAAAGGATTATAACATTTTTAACGACATTAAAATGCCTTTTAAAAGCATTAAAAAACCTTGGTTACCCAGTTTTTTAATAATTTCAAAAAAAAAATTTAAAAAGTTTTTTTTATTTTTAAAAATCAATTTTTAAATAATTAAAAATTATTTAAGGTTATTTAAGTAATTTGTAATTTAACGGTATTCAAGTAATTCGTAATTTTAAAAAAACATATCGATGAGATTATTATCTAACTATTATACCTAATACCTATAAGAAAAAACTTTTTAAATAGCACAAACTTTGTAAAAAGCACAAGGAATTTTTATATTTTTTAACTTTTGTAAAGCTTTTTAAAATAATTTAAAAAATATTTTTAGGCAGAAGAAGTAGGCAATCAAATTAAAGAAAAGAGCGAGTCTAAAGTTGGATATCAATTATTGGATGATGAAGACAATCATTAATAACTTCATCCACTTCGGAATGTTAAATAAATTAACTTAAATTATTTACAATGTACAAATAAATTGAACTAAAATTAAAAAAATTAGATTAATATAAAAATTTTACAAACTTAAATTGTTAAGTTGTATACAAGCAGATATCGGTAATATTATTCAAGTTTATCTATGTATTACTGGCAACTAAAAATGTTTTTTAGAAATATTTATCCAAATAATAATCAGCTTGTTATGTGTTATAAAAAACCACGTGTTCAAAGCATCAAAACCTAATAACTTTATTAACTCAAAGTAAATTTGTAAAAAAAAAATCATTCACGAGAAAAATAAAATTTATTAAAAAATGAATATTATTTTATGTGATATAAATATTATATTATTAAACTATTAATATAATACTATTAAATTATTATTAGTTATTATTACTAGCAATATTACTTATGCCCTTGTTTAATATGACTAGATGATTGCTTTTATTATCCAATTGGTCGTTACTGTAGATTACAATTCATACTATTTGTGAATGTCAATGAAATGTAATAACAAGCTTTTTTTTTAAGAAGATAAATTGCTATTGTTTACTATCGACGTAATTCTTTTACGGTAAAGAAGCAAAAACGTATTTTCCTTACAGCAAAGAAGAAAAAAACTTAATTCTCTTACAGTAAAAAAAAAAAAAGTATCCATAAAACTTGGTAGAAATTAAGACAAACCTAGACAAGTTTTTCAAGGACGTGATAGGAGATAGTAATGAGATAGTGTTATGATAGATATGAAGCCACTATTTTAGATTTCAAGATGGCCGCCTTTAAATAGCAAAAGAATTTGTTATATCTGCTACGTTATTTGTTATATCTGCTACGTTACATCGGCAAACATAATAACATCAAGATATAACGTTTGTTATATCTTGATGTTATTATGTTTGCCGATGACACAAATCTATTTTATTCATCGTCATCCATCAAAGAACTTTATGAATCAATGAACGCTGATCTTGAAAATCTCAAAATCTGGTTCAAGGCAAATAAGTTATCTTTAAATACAGAAAAAACCAAATATATCTTGTTTCATTCTAACCAGCAGAAAAATAACATACCACCAATCCTACCATCATTAAAAATAGATAACATATGCATTAAAAGAACTAAAAAAACTAAATTTCTTGAAATAATTATTGATGAGAAGATTTTCTGGAAGGCCCATATAAGTACAATAAATAACAAAATATCAAAAGGCATAGGTGTTCTTTATAAAGCTTAGCCAAAGCTCTCACAGTCTAATCTTAAAATTTTCTACTTTTCTTATATTCAAAGTTATTTGAATTACGCTAACATTGCATGGGGGAGTACACATAAATCTATATTAAATTCTCTATATGTGCCTCGAAAACATGCATCAAGACTGGTTTATAATTAAAAAAAAAATTACTCATGCCGATCAAATTAATATATACCAAAATATTTTATTTATGTTTTTATTTGGAACTAGTCCAAGTTTGTATTTATAATACAAACTTGGACTAGTTCCAAATTGTTTTTCTGATAATTTTTTTCAAATTAACGCTAATAAGTATACTACAAGAGGAACGAGAAATTTTACGTTGCCTATAAAAAAAAACAAAAATTTTGCAATATGCAATTGTATACAGTGGCCCTTACCTATATAACAAAGTCATACCCCAAAATATAGAACTTAGTAATTCTGGTAATTTTTATACTTTGAAGAAAAAAAACATCTTTAAACATCTCATATTAACTCAACAAATTTTATCGTTATGTTTTAAACATATTTGACAAGAAAGTGAAAAAGAAAAAGAAAAAATAACAAAATCCAAAATTCTTATACAACACCTACTAATTTTAATATCTCAATATTTTTATGTGTATTACTCTAGTAATATCACTTAATAAGTTTTTAATTTTTTACTTATTTTATTTCTCAAAGGTTCTCGATGACAAGACTTCTTTAAGTCTTCTGCGAGTTTCCTTACAACATCACAATTATTTCATCAAATTATTTTATCAAATTTATTATCATAAAATATATATAAAACATATACTTTGTATTTAACACAGTGTGTTTGACAATATATTTTTAACGATTTATGCTTGTATACATTTATTGTTGTTTTCTCTATGACTATATATTATGTCAAGAGAAGGAATTGTAACAATAGTTTATAAATTTGTAAAAAATCATGATGAAAAAAAAAAATTACATATTTTAACCAGATTTTGCATATCATGCAAAAACGGTGTTAGTTTATTTAATTGAAAACTATCTTCCAGGGTACCCAAAGAAAAATTTTTTGCAAACTTCCCAAAGTGTAGACTTTGGGAAGTTTGAAAATTAAAGACTTCTGTCCTCAATTGAAAGGGAAAGTGTACGACAATAACTGGTGTCTTTCAGATACTAATCAACTCAGAAAGAGAATAAACAAATGTTTTGCTAAGTTTGATCATCTTTCTAACAAGCTTTTGTACATGTTCTATACACGTACAAGAGCTTGTTAGAGAGAGGAAGTCGCAATTAGGCTGTGTACGTCAAAAAGTCTCAATTAGATTGTGTGCGTCAAAAAGTCTCGATTATATTGTGTACGTTTAAAAGGAAATATAGAAGACGATTTAGTAAAAAAAGTCGCAATTAGACTGTGTACGTCAAAAAGTCTTGATTAGACTGTGTATGTCAAAAAGTCTCGATTAGACTGTGTACATCAAAAAGTCTCGATTATATTGTGTATGTTTAAAAGGAAATATAGAAGACGATTAAAAAAATAGACGATTAAAAAAATATATAGACGATTAAAAATTATAGACGATTAAAAAAATAAAAAAGAGTTGAGTCTGCGACAGCGGTTTGCGGCGTTGAATGAGTTAAGCGCGGTTTAAGAATGGCAAAATCGGCACAGTGTTGTCGATTATAAAAGGATCTTTGAAAATCATTGGTACATAAAATTTTTTTTTTGTTTTTTTGTTTTGTTTTTTTTTTTTGTTTTTTTTTAATTGTTTTTATTTTTTATTGAGCCGTACGGATATTTTAAACTCATTTGGAATAATTACTTATTACCCGCTAGTAAAGAAATAGTAAAAAAAAAAAAATGTTTAAACGTGTGAAATAATAAAGACAAATTAAAATTTAAAACAACAATTTTATTAAAAAGTTTATTTTTTTATTTTTATTGTTTTAGGTGCCCTAAAAAGAGCTAACGGTCTTGTTTATACTTCCTTCCTTACCGATGACGCGAAGTATACCCATAGCTCGCTTTGAACCTTAGATTTCTTGTTTCTAAAGCAAACGCTCTAACCACAGCGCCACGGCTGTTAAATTTTTAAATCTATAGTTTATAAGTTAAAGTTAAGATATAATAGTTAAAGTTTTTTAAAATATGAATATAATATAAAAATAATATTTTTAAACCCAAATAATTAAAAACTTACAAATATTACGAATGAATAGTTAAAAATTCATAAATATTAAAAAACATAAATAATTACAAATTTATAAACAATATACAAACAAAATTTAACAAAAAAAAAGGAATCATTTTAATGAATATTAAAGTTTTAATTGGGATTTTTTACTAGAGACGTAAAATTGTGTTTGGTTTTAGCTACAAACACTCACACTGGGTTACCGTTAAATTATGTATACGTACAAGATTGAAAACTTTTTTGCCAGATGAATGGTCATAAATTAAAGCTGTTCCTGGCAATAACTTTGAAGGGGCGCAGCAAGGGTGTTTTACCTCATGATTTTTAAGCACATCCGCGTATAAAGTTTGTAATATTGAATGGTAAGTTTTTTTAATGTAGCATTGTCCTTTACATTGATTGATAATAAAATGGTCAGGATACAAAAATAAATTATTCCAACCAGCTTTTTTTAAAGGTACAAATAATTGCTTAACACTACATATATTTTTATAATTGTCATTAGTTCCTCTTCATCTTCTGTCATTAATTCCTCTTCGTCTTCTCTTAGCAACGACTGTTGTCTGCGATACAATTATTGCGCTTTTCTCACTTGGCTCCCAAATTTTTTTATTTTTTTTTAAAAGCGAAGTTAACGAAAATTCTCCTTTTTCTTTAGTGAATGTAACCAAGAAAGGTTTGTGTTTTTCTGGGTTAAAATTTACAAATGTGTTGGCTCCATAACGTTTTTGAATTAAAATGCTAAGTCCTTTGTTTTGATTTTTGTTATAAATCCAGTTTTGCACAACTTTAGTTAGTGGGTAAACTTGTCAGCCGTAACTGTTTGAGCTAATTATATTTGCACATACAGTTTTATTGTTAAACAAATTTACTATGTTTACCTGTAAAACGTTTCTAAGAAGTTCTCGATTTGCGTTTTTAAATAATCTTAATTCTGCTTTTTTTAAACTTTCATTGAAGCTTAAGATATCTGATACGTCAGATAAATAACTACGTCAACTGATACGATATCTGATACGTCAACTACGTCACGATATCTGATACGTCAAATAAATAACTATGATCTCCGTTTTCTGCTTCTAAAATACAAATGAAATTGTTATTAAAATAATTAACATTACTTTTCAATAAAATAGTGAAAAATGACAATTGGAGAAAAATATCAATTTTTGTTGATTTTTGTTTAACTAATAGACTAAATTTATCTATTAAAATTTTTTTTATTAAATTATTTTATCTACTAAAACTCCAATCAGTGTTGCCAAAATTTTCTATACATTAAAATGCCATTATAACTTAATTGTGTACATTTATTAAAATGATATGTAAATCACACAAAATGGAAATTAATATGTAACTTATTTTGAAGTAAATACTTTTCAAAATGCCAAGCATTCTAATGCCACAATAAAGTGAACCTGAATTCTTCCAAAATAATGCCAAATTAGCATTCTATAATGCCATATGGCAACACTGATTCCAATCGTATTTATTTCGTCATAATTTTCACATTTTATCCTAGGGTGGAATTCAAGTAGCCAACTTGAAATTTAAAGTCATTCTTTAAATATAAAATTTGACTTGAGCAAATGCAAAGAGCGAACTTGAACTCGAAGTTCAACTTGAAAACTCGAGTCGAGTCGTAAAACCGGCCGTTTTCAAGTTAAACTTGAAAAGCCAACTTAAAAAAGCAAAAATCTTTTCCGAATGCAAGAAGCGAACTTGAAATTTCAAGTTATACTTCAAATCTAAAGATTCACTTGCAATCAACAAATTTGAAATATTTAGTACTTGAAAAATCTGATTTCAAGTCGTTTTTTTAGTTAGGTACCGACAAGTCTTGAATCCAAACTTGAAATAAAAAAACAAAACCACCATTATTATTTTGTATGATACACGGTAAAAAGTAAAATTCATAAAATTTTTGTCAATTTAATCAATTCATGAGTGAATTACTAATGAGTTCTTATTTTATACTATAAAAATAGATTTCACCAGTACAACAACTGTAAATTGTATTTCGGTTTTATGCTATTGGTTCATAACAGGTGAGAAAGTATTTATATTATCACTATAATTATATTATAATAAGTAATATATATATATATATATATATATATATATATATATATATATATATATATATATATATATATATATATATATATATATATATATATATATATTTGATCATTTGTTATATAATATTGATAAATACATATAATAATATATAATAATATTGATAAAATGCTATATGTAATAAGCAAGAAAGAAAGTTTAGTTTTTTTTAAATCAGTAGTATGCAGAATTGCATCAAAACAGAAAAGGATATTTCTCTTTAAACTGCCAAATAATTAAAGGTCCTTCAAAAGATATTTTATATGCTTGTATTTAATGGAATAGATTGTATTTAATGGAATAGATGAAATAGATTTATTCACGGATCACAAGATTTTACTTACTCAGCCATTGTTTTAGAAGCTACATATTTACACAGGTTTTAGAAGCTAATATTATATAGAAGAAATAATATTGATAAATACATATATATATATAATAATACTGATAAAATGCTTTATGTAATAAGCTAGGAGGAAATTTTTTTTTTATATCAGTAGTTGTATCCTAAAAATGTACTATCAATTTTAAGTTTTTTGAAACATAAATAATTTAAGTTCCAAAATTGCATTATCTCCTTAAAATTTTAAAATAGAATTAAATGATTTTGTGGCAATATTTGCAAAACGTTGTCTCTTGTAAAGATATTACAGTTTTTTCAGTTTCAACAGTCTTCTTTTCCTCTTTTTTACTAAAATTTAAAAAATAAATAGGTTTATTTAGCTGAAATTAATTGTTTATATAATAAACTTAATAAATGCAAAAAACTTTTTTCTCTTATTCATATATTGACCAAATGGCCACACTCTTCCTGTCACTTCAATGATACAAGCCAGCTAAAACTGAGGAGCAATTTTATTTAAAGCATCCTTATTTGACATAAGTTTAAACATATAATTGTTTGAAGCTTGTTTTGTGTACGTAGGTTAGCTCAAAGACCATAAAATGCTGGATCCACTTCTGATCTATACAGATTTTGACCCTATTAATCTATTGCTGACTAGTTTACAGTTGTAACAAAAATAGGTTCTGTCGTACATTAGATGAAATCTTGTAACCATTTTCTTCTACTGATTTTGTTTTCAATCTCTATAAATATTATATTGAAAACTGTTGTCATATTTTTGTCATTTTTTTGTCAAACTTGTCATATTTTTTAATTAATTTTCTGTTAACTCCAAACGTAATCAGTGTTTACTTGTAGCCTTTTAAGAGTTTAAATTTTTTTTTTAATAAAAATTTAACAAGAAAATTGAATAATAAAAAACTTGTGTTTGACATATATGCTTTGCTGATAACCGTATATGCCATTTGAATGTCAATCAGCTGTTACGTCGTAGTTAAAGGCTTAGACTAAATAGAAGGTAACACGAGCATGTTGATTTTAATCCAGTGTTTTTTAATAAATTACCAATTTTTAATAAAAATACAAAAAATAAACTTATTTTTTTTGTAACACTTTTTAATTTATTTTTGTAAGATAATAACTTAAAGTATAAAGCTGAGAAATATTATTTAAAAATAAATATAGTTATTTTGCTTTATTTAAAAGGTTTTCCCTATTCAAATACTCTGCCGCTTCACAGTCGAACTTCACTCAAGTTCGCTTCTTGCATTCCACCTCGAATCAACAGGTTCTAGTAATGATGATAATAACAATAATAACAATAATAATAGTAATAATAATAATAATAATAATAATATAATCTGTATATTTTGACATCCGATTAACTTTTATTTGGAATATGTTGTGTAAAAATGGAATAATTGTGTAATGGAGTAATGGAATAGTTGTGTAAAAATGATAAAACAAAAAAAAACTTTTAAAAAAGAAAAAAGTTTTAATCATTCTAGTCGCACACAGAAGAAATTTTTTTTGATTTTACACCTTTTATTTTATATAAAATCACCTTAAAGAAGTTTTTAGTGAAAACTTTTCGACTCTGAAAAATTATCAGATATCTAAAATTATTCTGAAAAATTATCAGATATCTAAAAACATTATAAAAAGGATCAAACTGAAAATGTTTGCAATATATTTAAATCTTAGTTCACAGGAAAATGAACCACCTTGATCGAAAATATGGAATAAAAATTACAAAGAACAAAAATAATGCAAACATCTCTTCGACAAAAGCAGCACCCAAAATTTCATTTTTTTCCAAATAGAGTCAATTGGAGAAATTCTCATAAAACTGATAGCTTTGGATGAATTAAGTTTTTGTGATTTAACGAAATGGCAATGACATAAAAAGGTTATGAATTTCCAAAAAACCCACATAAAAGTTTCAGTTAGTAAAAAACTATTCTGCAAAACAAGCTTAAAAAAGTTTTTTGCTTATAAATGAAAACGTTTTTCTAATAGACAAGGTTTGTACACAAGGTAAATACATTTTCTTGAAAAACAGAAAATTTTTAAACATTAACATTTACTAAAATACTGGAATCTTAAAAGCACACAAATTTCTGGGACTCTTCCAAAAAAAAATGCAACGAAAAGGGTCTCAGAGATTTGGATTTGAATATGACTGATTGTTTTTTCAATGATGATTGATTTTAGAGAAACTGTTCCTACTAAAAATTAAACTCACGGAGTTTATTTTTTGCTATTCAACAGGTACGAGAAAAAAATATATCAAAGTTTAAGAACGAAACTTACAATTCTCATGAGACAATAAAATGCCCCTGAAGTGTAAAATGACAATAATAGTGAGTTAAGAGATGAAAAATGGAACAATGAAGACAGTCTTAGCTCATTTTAGATAAAATCAGAGAAAACATTCCTTTAGCAAAGGTAAAAGCTTTTTTTCAGTCTGTCATCAATAGAGTTTGTAAAATTGTCAAGTTGCTTCGAAAATGTCAAAAATGATGAAGAAATTAAAAAGCAACAAAGAAATTGAAACTTAGTTTAGTGGATGAAACAGCTTACGGCAATATTTTAGCAATTTCTCAAAATCAATTTTGATTTTGAATTAGAATTGTTCTGGCTGACATTTCTCAAACCTCATTCGCTCTGAAGGAGAAGCACTTTGCTAGAAAGACTTTTAATTGCAAGGAGAATTTTCATGTTTCTTATTAATAAATTTATAAAACAGAATAAATCAAATCTTTACATCTTTTATTTATTATTTAGTTAAAAAAAATAAAGCAATTTAAGTTTTAGTATTAAGAATATAGACCACAAAGCACAAGAATAAAGACCACAAAGCAAAAGAATAATGATCAAAAAGCACAAGAACAAAGACCACAAAGCAATTGAATGAGTCTAAACAAATATCTGTCCACTTCACAATGTCGTCATGAGATTAAAGAGCATGAAATTTTTAACATACTATTAGAAAATATTCCTAACAAAGTTGTCAAATCCTTGCTTTCAAGGCTTTCAAATATTACTTTAAATCTATTTGAAATGCAATTCTTTAAAGCCACAAGCATAGCAACTGCAAATCTTGAGCTGTTCAATGTTCTTAAAACAATTCCCGAGTGTCAAACCAGAGCGGTTCGACACTTGCTAGTAACAGCTGCTGGATTATTTGTAACAAATATTTGTCATTTTCGAAATAAACTTTCATTTAAAAAGTACAACTTTGTACAAAATTACACACAGCGTGCTAAATTGCTGTTTTATGTTGAATAAGATAAAGCTATCTTTATTTATAACAACAATTTATTAGGATAAATAATTAAACATTGCTTTATCTTATCTTTATTTATTAGGATAAATAATTAAACATTGCTTTATCTTATCTTTTAGTAAATAAATGTAGATTTTTAAACAATTAAATGTTTAAATAAAAAAGATTAAACAACAAAGCCTGTATTACTATATTATATTAAAAATTATGTTACACATACATAATACACAGAATGTTTTACAAACTTATATATTATGGCTAAAATCTTTTTGATCTAAAGCTGCACACTGCTTTTTTAATTTTTTACTGTGAACAGGATCAAAAATATCTCTCTTATAATGTTTACGGATTATAAAATTACGAATTTTTTAAATTTTGCATGAATTGCCTTGCATGTTCGCTCAACGAATTTACCCAGACCATTAGATTGATGATATAATACAATATGGAATTACTTAATTCATTTTTGAAAACCGGAATCAGGATATTGGTTTTTGAAAGCGGGTGTCCCTTTTTATCAATATGAAAGACACTAACACATATCTTCATAAAGTCTAAGTAAATTAAAGTCTCCTTAATCCAATGACACTCGCACTAAAGTCTTATAAATATCAAGTCCTCTGTTACTAAAAGTTGACTTAA